TATATAATCCACATTCTGTCTGCAGTGCTTAACACATTATCCTCTCTGAGATTCTTAGTTTTAACCATGTAAGTGTTTTAACTACCATGCAGGCTGATAGGTCTGGGATCTATTATCGTTTTATTGTTTTTTCAAGGATGGAGAGCTCAGGTTGGTATGTAACTTTACGATATTGTAAGTGTGAGAACAGATGATGGCACAGGTTTGTGACTGATATGTTACTGGGTAACAGAATGGTAGATACTGGGGTTGTATTGTTGGAAGGTGTTACTAGGAGGTAACAGAATGGTAGATACAAGGGTTGTATTGTTGGAAGGTGATACTAGGAGGTAACAGAATGGTAGATACAAGGGTTCTATTGTTGGAAGGTGATACTAGGAGGTAACAGAATGGTAGATACGGGGGTTGTTCTGTTGGAAGGTGTTACTAGGAGGTCACAGAATGGTAGATACTGGGGTTGTTCTGTTGGAAGGTGTTACTAGGAGGTCACAGAATGGTAGATACTGGGGTTGTTCTGTTGGAAGGTGTTACTAGGAGGATACTGGGCGTGCATTGTTGCTAGGTGTAACTAGGAGGTAACAGAATGGTAGATACGTGGGTTGTTCTGTTGGAAGGAGATACTAGGAGGTAACAGAATGGTAGATACGTGGGTTGTTCTGTTGGAAGGTGATACTAGGAGGTAACAGAATGGTAGATACTGGGCGTGCATTGTTGCTAGGTGTAACTAGGAGGTAACAGAATGGTAGATACGTGGGTTGTTCTGTTGGAAGGTGATACTAGGAGGTAACAGAATGGTAGATACGTGGGTTGTTCTGTTGGAAGGTGATACTAGGAGGTAACAGAATGGTAGATACGTGGGTTGTTCTGTTGGAAGGTGATACTAGGAGGTAACAGAATGGTAGATACGTGGGTTGTTCTGTTGGAAGGTGATACTAGGAGGTAACAGAATGGTAGATACGTGGGTTGTTCTGTTGGAAGGTGATACTAGGAGGTAACAGAATGGTAGATACGTGGGTTGTTCTGTTGGAAGGTGATACTAGGAGGTAACAGAATGGTAGATACGTGGGTTGTTCTGTTGGAAGGTGATACTAGGAGGTAACAGAATGGTAGATACGTGGGTTGTTCTGTTGGAAGGTGATACTAGGAGGTAACAGAATGGTAGATACGTGGGTTGTTCTGTTGGAAGGTGATACTAGGAGGTAACAGAATGGTAGATACGTGGGTTGTTCTGTTGGAAGGTGATACTAGGAGGTAACAGAATGGTAGATACGTGGGTTGTTCTGTTGGAAGGTGATACTAGGAGGTAACAGAATGGTAGATACGTGGGTTGTTCTGTTGGAAGGTGATACTAGGAGGTAACAGAATGGTAGATACGTGGGTTGTTCTGTTGGAAGGTGATACTAGGAGGTAACAGAATGGTAGATACGTGGGTTGTTCTGTTGGAAGGTGATACTAGGAGGTAACAGAATGGTAGATACGTGGGTTGTTCTGTTGGAAGGTGATACTAGGAGGTAACAGAATGGTAGATACGTGGGTTGTTCTGTTGGAAGGTGATACTAGGAGGTAACAGAATGGTAGATACGTGGGTTGTTCTGTTGGAAGGTGATACTAGGAGGTAACAGAATGGTAGATACGTGGGTTGTTCTGTTGGAAGGTGATACTAGGAGGTAACAGAATGGTAGATACGTGGGTTGTTCTGTTGGAAGGTGATACTAGGAGGTAACAGAATGGTAGATACGTGGGTTGTTCTGTTGGAAGGTGATACTAGGAGGTAACAGAATGGTAGATACGTGGGTTGTTCTGTTGGAAGGTGATACTAGGAGGTAACAGAATGGTAGATACGTGGGTTGTTCTGTTGGAAGGTGATACTAGGAGGTAACAGAATGGTAGATACGTGGGTTGTTCTGTTGGAAGGTGATACTAGGAGGTAACAGAATGGTAGATACGTGGGTTGTTCTGTTGGAAGGTGATACTAGGAGGTAACAGAATGGTAGATACGTGGGTTGTTCTGTTGGAAGGTGATACTAGGAGGTAACAGAATGGTAGATACGTGGGTTGTTCTGTTGGAAGGTGATACTAGGAGGTAACAGAATGGTAGATACGTGGGTTGTTCTGTTGGAAGGTGATACTAGGAGGTAACAGAATGGTAGATACGTGGGTTGTTCTGTTGGAAGGTGATACTAGGAGGTAACAGAATGGTAGATACGTGGGTTGTTCTGTTGGAAGGTGATACTAGGAGGTAACAGAATGGTAGATACGCGGGTTGTTCTGTTGGAAGGTGTTACTAGGAGGTCACAGAAAGGTAGATACGCGGGTTGTTCTGTTGGAAGGTGTTACTAGGAGGTAACAGAATGGTAGATACGCGGGTTGTTCTGTTGGAAGGTGTTACTAGGAGGTCACAGAAAGGTAGATACTGGGCGTGCATTGTTGCTAGGTGTAACTAGGAGGTCATAGAATGGTAGATACTGGGGTTTCATTGTTGCTAGGTGTAACTAAGAGGTCACAAAATGGTAGATACTGGGGGTGTATTGTTGCTAGGGTAGCAGTGTACAGTAGAGGGTTGTGGCCATGGGTGATATTTTTGTTAAATGGCTAACCCCTGTATAATGATATGTAAAAAAAATATAAAAATAAAACTGTACTAAAATTGGTATAAGCATGATGAAGTGGGCTATGTGAGCTTCACATTTGTAAAAAAGAAAGAAGATTTCTTTGGTTCGAGAATAAAATTTTGGCCATAATACGAAAGGGTGCGTACACATGAAAAGCTAGCTTTACAGGAGGTAAAATTTTGACAACAGCACACGACGCAAAATTGCAAAAAATCAAGTTCTACAATTTTACTGCGACCCAGATAATTCTGCAACCAGGTAGGTAATCTTTAATTTCAGACAGAGCTTAGGAAAAAAATTACTACTTGCGGGGGTCAAATTTTGGGTTAAAAATAGCATTTTTTGGCATTTTTTGGTAATTTTTGATGTGGTAACCATGGTTTTCACACAAGTGACATACATAGAAAAAAGAGGTTTATACACTTCTCAGTGCTTTATATGTATTGTAAATGTAATGCAGTTTACAAATATATATACATGTATACATGTGTTGTGTAGGGTAAAACCGCTGTGTTTACATTTCCTCGACATGTGCCTTGTTTATCAGAGTCGGGCCATTTCTACTGTATTCTGCTACCATATACACATAGAACTTGATTTTTTCTGAAAAAATCCCTTTTTATGCTTGATTCAGCTTCACTTTCATTCATTAATACTTAAAACTACTCAAAAACGCCAAAAAACCCGTTACATAGATAGGTCTATATATAGGTCATTAGCCTGTTACCTGTGGATGTATAAAGAGAGGTAACTCGCGCTTTCACAGGCACTTGTGAAATTCTGCAATTCATCACATATGTGTCAATTATGTTATTGGTAAAGTTGATACCAAACATCAAATAGTTCACAGGCTATCTCCTGATGCATTCATACTAGATTTCAGTCTGTTTCACTCAGTTCAGCACCCGGTAGCCATGGTTACTAATACATAAAGTTGTATTTATTGAAAATGGGTAAAAATGGGTAAAATATCTGTTTTCATTTTAATTACACTATTTTAGATGTTTTTTTCCACTTGATTCAGCATACAGATGAAATAAGCAAAGTCAGTAATGTCAATAAATTTTATTTCCATAATTACAGCTGAAGAAAATCTTTTTTTTCTAGCGAAATATGTTAAATGAACAATTTCTGAGGGTCACTGTCAATTCTAGGCGAGGAAAGTAAATAACGGTTGCTATGGTGGCACTTGTCTGATTTCTCAGAATATCTTACATTTCTGTGCTGTTCATCGGTTACGGGAAGTGTGTCTGTTGCTAGTTTGTTGTTGAGATGGGTTTCCTAGTGTTCAATATTTTGATATCAGTGATCCTCGATGATGTCATAGATGCCCATTGATGACGTCATAGTTATGATGACATCACAGTTACTATGACGTCATCAAACAAGACAGTAACATCATAGTATCACTGTACTGTTTGTTTTCTACATGCACATGATCTCAAGGCATCATATTTCACCCAAAAAGAAATTTTATTCATGAAAACTACAAACCTATTCAAGTTTTCATTTTTCAGATTACCTCCCTTTGTTGGTAGTTTGAGAGCAGAATTGGTAAATACACTTTTCAGGAGAATTCATATTACTCGGTCACTATTAAAGTGAGAAAGGAAACGGATACATCATTGTGTTCATTGTCGCATTTTCCAGACATTTAAAAGGTTTTGATTAAATTTTGGGGAAAAAAAAGTGATGTATAAGGTAGCAGAGTACAGTAGAGGGTTGTGGCCATGGGTGATATTTTTGTTAAATGGCTAACCCCTGTATAATGATATGTAAAAAAAATATAAAAATAAAACTGTACTAAAATTGGTATAAGCATGATGAAGTGGGCTATGTGAGCTTCACATTTGTAAAAAAGAAAGACGATTTCTTTGGTTCGAGAATAAAATTTTGGCCATAATCCGAAAGGGTGCGTACACATGAAAAGCTAGCTTTACAGGAGGTAAAATTTTGACAACAGCACACGACGCAAAATTGCAAAAAATCAAGTTTTACAATTTTACTGGGACCCAGATAATTCTGCAACCAGGTAGGTAATCTTTAATTTCAGACAGAGCTTAGGAATAAAATTACTAGTTGCGGGGGTCAAATTTTGGGTTAAAAATAGCATTTTTTGGCATTTTTTGGTAATTTTTGATGTGGTAACCATGGTTTTCACACATACATAGAAAAAAGAGGTTTATACACTTCTTAGTGCTTTATATGTATTGTAAATGTAATGCAGTTTACAAATATATATACATGTATACATATGTTGTGTAGGGTAAATCCGCTGTGTTTACATTTCCTCAACATGTGCCTTGTTTATCAGAGTTACTGTATTCTGCTACCTAGGTGTAACTAGGAGGTCGCAGAATGGTAGATACCCTGGGGTGTATTCTGTGACCTGCTAGTAACACCTAATAACAATACACTCACAGTATTCACCATTTCACAACCTCCTTAAAAAGTAACACATAGCAACAATACACCACAGGAAATTGTTTGCTGCAGTACAATTTAGCCATTTTGACCACTGCAATGAGGGCAAATCTATCACCAGAGCGAATATAAGTTTGCAGCATGATATAAGTAGTATTTGCATAATTTTTTATGAAAGATGAAATTAACACTGTGCAAACATAGATTTTACTGATGATTGCAAATATTTGATTGGGTGAACAAATGTACAGTTTACATGTAGGGTTATGTAGACAGTTTAATTAGTAAGTCATGTTTCATGGTGGCAATTCTATATTGCTATACATACATACTTTTCTAAGGTATTTCTACTACAGCTGTTTTCTTCTGGAACATTTGTATGTACTCTTGCGAAATTGAATACAAAAAACAAACTCTGTATTTTCTAGATTTTTAATATTACGATGAGATTAGCAAACAATAAACTTATAACACAATGAAACAATATTGATACAAACATCATAGAGATAGTATATCTAAAAGAAAATGTCCTTCAGTAGAAATGGTATAGGCACTGTGTATGATGACTGGAGTGGTCAACCCAAGGCTAGGGTGGACTGGACCAGAACAAAGGTAAAGAATGACTCAAGTTCAAAAATCAGGGGTGTAAGGGTAGGTTTAGAAGAGAGTTGGTTTGGTATATATGATGAAATATCTGAATTTGTGAACGATTTATAATGAGTGTATTAAAGACATCATTTTTATTGTTCTCCTTGTATGATATAATCTAAATGGCCTCCTGGGCCCGTATTCATGAAACCGCTCTCATGCTCATGCATGGGTTCTGAGCTCGAACCAACTTTCTTGTAACTTGCTTAAATTCATGTGCCACAGTCCAAAGTGTTCAGTTTAGGCTTTGAAAATAGTACTTGGCTTCAGCTGTCAAACAGGCACCCAAATCATTGATAAAATGTAATTTATGGTTAAATTATCACTGGAATTACAGAAACCGAGCTTGAGCACAAAGTCTGAGTTTGGGCATGAGAAGTGGCCCTGATTTCTATATATATGTTGAGGTTCAAGTGTCTCAGGATTGTAAAATAGAAAAGTTTATTACATACTTGCTTATGAATTTGGTAGTGAAATATCAAACCACTTTCTTCGATAAAATAAAATTTGAGCAAATAACAATAAAAAGGCTAGACAGATCAGACATCGTGTTCCTTAGGAGGGTCATCTCAACTGAGCTTGGATCAATTACTGATTGAAGCTTCTGGAAAAGTTAAAATGTTAAAGGAATATATCTTAAATCTCTCTACAAGGATTGTGACGTTACGGTCAGAGTTCTAACTCACCTTTCTCACAGATTTTATAACTAGATGAAAGGTCTCATCACCATTTTAACAAATCTTACAAACATAGGTAAATATATCTCACTGCTTTTCTCATAGATCTTACAAAAGATAGGTCAAAGGCATTATTGTGATTTTCACAGACCTTATACAGACTGACCATAGGTCTCCTTACCATTTGGGTTTACCTAAAAATCTACAGTAAAACCTGCTTAGTACATGTTTGGTTCTAACAAGGTCATATTGGTGTCAAACATGACAAATATACTGCATTTAATGAATTAAGTCCCCTGAAATGTGTTATAAACATGTTTCAATGTAGATGCATCGACAGAAAATGGATGAGAACAGTACTGAGTAATTTTGAAGTCAGAAAAGTTACAAGGGTCAGGGGTCATAAGATCGGGGTCATGTGATCAAGGTCACAGGGGTTAAGTAGGTTTTGACTTTGAACATTGGTATCCTTTCGTTAGTAATATATGAGGTATATTAGGTGATAGATTATGTATTAATTATGGCTGAAATATTTTTAAAAGCAGAAGCTTAGAAGCCAAATTGTCACATCTTGCTGAAGTGATCTCTCAAATTTGTTGAGGTCTGATTTTCACTGCTTACTTAATTAAGGTCAAGGATTGGAGACACCCACACTCGTGTTTGTTAAAACAGACACACTGCTCCTTTTCTATCCTTACAAACTGTCTAGATAGACATTCATTTTCAATTTTTGCCATGTAATGATAGTATGGGTCTATGATTTACTTCTGGTTATTTTGAAACAATTAAAAGTTTGGATATTTGTGATTGTATGTTAGATAGATGTGTATTGCCTTCAGATATAGAATTGGCTGTCAATCTAATGGACAACACATCATCTTGTTACATAAATTATTGTTCTGTTACCATGGTGACGACATTTGCCTTGGTATCCATTACGATAAAATACCAACTCCATGACATTGAAACAACCCTCTATACTGTATTTATAGTTTTCCACAATAAAATGAAACAATAAATTTCATTATGTACAAAACTATCTTACATGCTAAATAAATATTCTGGTCTCTGAAAATGTTTGTAAATAAAATATTCCAATGTAAGTATGGAACTGTGTATATTCCTCTGGCTCAGCTGCTGCACTGCTTCATGTCACTTGATATTTATGGATGATAAAACTTCTACAAATACAATTATTACAATAATAAATATTACTGCGTTTGTGATACAACGGACGATGCTAGGCCTGTTAGAATATATAGAATTATAGACAATAATGAACTTATTCATTGCCGGGACGTCAGCATAGTGTCTGACGATATTCCAGATCTAGATATATAGGCATATTGCCTGCGTCCAGTATTATTATTATTATTATTATAATAATAGTTATACACAATAAGAACAACGAATGTCTGAACATACATTTAAATCAAGTCTTTTTATGTCTTAGTACTATCATTTACAGATAGACTTGATGTTTCAGGAGATACACAATGTCCATACATATCTGAATATGTTCCTACTTATTTGGCAATATCTCTAAACATATATAAATGTCCCTACACACCTGTCATTATTCTTACACACCTGTCATTATTCTTACACACCTGTCAATATTATTACACACACCTGTCAATATTATTACACACCTGTCAATATTATTACACACCTGTCAATATTATTACACACACCTGTCAATATTCGTTCACACCTGTCTACATCTAAACACCTATCAGTATCCTTCCATGCAAGTCATTTTTCTGATACAACTGTCTATGTCTGTACACACCTGTCTAAACCCATACATAATTGTCAATGTCCCTACACACCTGTCAATATCTCTACACACCAGTCAATGTCCCTACCCACCTGTCAATGTAACTGAACACCTATCATTGTACCTGTCACACCTGTCAATATCTGTACACACCTGTCAATATCTCTACACACCTGTTAATATCTCTACACACCTGTCAATATCTCGACACACCTGTCAATATCTCTACCCACCTGTCAATATCTCTACACACCTCTCTACACACCTGTCAATATCTCTATACACCTGTCAATATCTCTACACACCTGTCAATGTCTCTACACACCTGTCACACCTGTCAATATCACTATACACCTGTCAATATCTCTACACACCTGTCAATGTGACACATCCATCAATGTCCCCACACACCTGTCACACCTGCCAATGTTCCAACACACCTGTCAATGTGACACATCCATCAATGTCCCTACACACCTGTCAATGTCCCTTCACACCTATCAATGTCTCTACACATCCATCAGTGTCCCGTCACACCTGTCACACCTGTCACACCTGTCAATGTCCCTTCACACCTGTTAATGTCTCTACACATCCATCAGTGTCCCGTCACACCTGTCACACCTGCCAATGTCCCTACACACCTGTCAATGTGACACATCCAGCAGTGTCCCTACATACCTGTCAGTATCCCTACAGACCAGTCAATTTTACACAACATCTGTTATTTAACTTACACAGATGTAAATTTTCCTAAACACCTGTCAATATGCCTACATACTTTTCATTGTGGCTACACCCCTGTCTATACCCCTACAAACATATTGGTTTACTTACATATCTAAAGATTGTCAATTTCCTTGGAAATTTATTGACTACTTTTCATTACTGCTTGGTGACTTCCATATTGATAAATCCTGTTTTTGTATTCACTAAATTTTGACTCTGCTTGGTAACATCCATATTTGTAATTCATTGCTTTTCCACATTGCATGGTAACATCCATACTTGTAAACCATACTTGTAATCCATGACTTTCCCACATTGATGATGACATCCATACATGTAATCCATACTTGTAATCCATACTTGTAATTCATACATGTAATCCATATTTGTAATCCATACTTGTAATCCATACATGTAATCCATACTTGTAATCCATACCTGTAATCCATACTTGTAATCCATACATGAAATCCATACTTGTAATCTATACTTGTAATCCATACATGTAATCCATATTTTTAATCCATACTTGTAATACAGACATGTAATCCATACTTGTAATTCATACATGTAATCCATACTTGTAATCCATACTTGTAATCCATACTTGTAATCTGCACTTGTAATCTGTACCTGTAATCCATACCTGTTATCCATAGTTGTAATCCAGACAAGTAATCCATACTTGTAATCTGCACTTGTAATCCATACTTGTAATCCATACCTGTAATCCATAGTTGTAATCTATACTTGTAATCCAGACATGAAATCCATATCTGTATATCCATACATGTAATCTGCACTTGTAATCCATACTTGTAATCCAGACTTGTAATTCATATTTGTAATCCAGACTTGTAATTCATACATGTAATCCATATTTGTAATTTATTACTTTTCCACATGGCCTGTTGACATCCATAGAGATAATCCTTACTTGTGTGCCCGGACTACTGTCCCACATTGATGATGACATCCAGACATGTAATCCATACTTGTAATTCAGACATGTAATCCATATTTGTAATTCATTACTTTCCCACATGGCTTGGTGACATCTATACAGATAATCCTTACTTGTGTGCCTGGACTACTGTCCCACATTGATGATGACACCCAGACATGTAATCCATACTTGTAATCCATACTAATCCATACTTGTAATCCATACTAATCCATACTTGTAATCCATACTTGTAATCCATATTTGTAATTCATTACTTTCCTACATGGCTTGGTGACATCCATATGGCATTCATACTGCTTATTCATATTTGTTGCTCAGGACATGCCTATGTGACATGAATGCCATCGCTGTAGATCCATACACATACATTAACAGATTCCATATGGCATACCATCCTTCTTAATGAAAAAGATTCTATGTACATATGATATTATTATTGGAGTTTGTTTCGTACACATTTAGTGCTGCGATTTATACTCCAGTTGAAGTACCAATGCCAGTAGCTCTGTAGATTTTCGGACGTGCACCAGCAGAGTTGTTAACAGAGTTTGTGGAGCGGTCGACTTCAATGGAGGAGGCTCGTTTCCTGGCCGAGACCTGGTAGTGTTTGGACTGACAGTTCTTAAAGGTGTTCACCATATCCTGTCTGAGCTTCCGGCAAAACACAATAAATATGTATGGCTTTAAACTCAAATATGCATAATCCATTGTCCGCAACACTGTGTCAAAAAGAGCAAAATTTAAATCCACGTTGGGAAATTTGATGAAGACTGCTTGGATTACCATACATGATGAGTTCATCAGGAAATACAAAGACAAAAGCACTGTCGCTTTTTTCATTTCATGGAGCGTCTTTAAATCCAAGAAATACTTTCCAAGCAATGATTCTACTTCGTCTTTGCTGCGTTTTTGTCCCAAGTTCTGGACAACATGCCAGAAACACACACAGAGGCACGAAAACACAGATATCATGGGTATTGCATTTTGGACGAAGAATTCAACAAGAGGCCAGATGATGTTGCGAAAATCTTCGGACAGTTCATAGTTGTTATGACAGAATGGTATAACAATCTCCGGGGATTGACCAGGCAAGGTTAGGCCTACCGTCCAGAAGAAGTGAAGATTGAGGCAGATCAGTAGAACAATGATAAACAAAATGACGGCTTGGGACCGCTCACGCGTACACATCACATACATGTGCCGTGGGAACCGTATCGCTATCAGTAATTCCACAGTAGCCGCCACGACAATCCATGATGACATATGGTTTAAAAAACTTATGAGAAATGTGTACACTTTGCAGACGGAATTTGAAATGACGAGTATGTTCCAGCTGAGATTTTCATCGGCTACAGCGTCGAACCACTGGTTCCCACAATGGACGTACAACTTGACGAGGTCGATGCCAAGGAGGAGAGAAAGGTATACACAGGTGGACCACACGGTGTGACTGTAGCGGTTCAGCAGCACAATACAGGGAAATGTCCCAATGGTGCCCAGGAGGAGAAAGACGGCAAACACGTAGCGGAACACCACCTGACGGATCTTGTACTCGGGCCCAGTGGACGGAGATTCAAATCCTTCATAGTCATACTCATCACTCATATTACCCAGGCTTGGATCTACAGGAAAATAAAAAAATAAAAACTTTTATCTTATACTGTATAATCAAATTTGAATGAAGTCTTTTATGCTTTTTGTGATAACCTGTATTTCTACCTTGTAAAATATCATGGGTTTTATGGTAGTGTGCATGAAACATGAGCAAAACAATATCAACTTTAATAACACAGGTATGCACATGCACTCCGATATATTTTTTCAGTTTTCATAAATGCCTTCTATGGAAATATAATTGAATATTATCAAAATTTTGTTGATTTAAATGTTTATACATAATGTCGTTAAATGATGGCCTGTGGTGTTATTTTAAGTAAGATGTAGACTTGAATCCAGGGTTCTTTGAATCAATAACGTAATTTTATATATCAATTTGCAAAGACTGGGTGAACATATGAAGAATTATAGTTAGAAAGGGAAAACAGGAAATGATAGTAAAAAAAACCAAATGGCAGAGTTTTCATTTATGTGGATTCAAGTCTGAAATAGATGTGAGCCTATGATATTGTTTAAAGCACATGATCAGATATTTAGGAAAGAAATTCATAACAAAAACAAAAAGAAAATACACATGATTTACTGTGTAAACTTGATGAGTTGATCTTTCAACAGAAGATAATTCACAAGATTCTATGGTAGTTTGTGTGTATTTTGCTGCCTATATATCGAGTGGAATATCATATAAATGTGTGTCATCGTTGTCCTTCCTGAAATTGTTTCAAGAGATGCAAAACATAAGATATTGTAAGATATGATATCTTGATATATAATGAGAAGAGTGATCATACAGGGTGTGTAGCCTGTCACCATTTTGAGATGCACATACCACATGACACAATCATAGTGTGTTTCATGTCTAAAAACCAAGTTTTCATTTTGTAAAAAGTTTTTTTTTTACCAATTCGAAAACAGACAAACATACAGTCTGTACTGTATGAGTCAGATGGCACAATGAATCTGATAAACGATGCCAAAAAAGGTCAATATTCCAGATCCAGCACTGACATTGTTTGGCTATAAAGAACTTAGACTTTACACTGGTTTGAATGTTTAAATGTGAAGCAGACATCTGGATCTATCTAGTTTGACGTAGGCTCCAAAAGAACACCACTCCACTACTTCTGTGATAGAATTTTGCCAACACCAGTATTGTAATTACATTTGGCTTTAGATTTTGTTTAGTCTGCGTGTTTGTGGTCGTGGTCTTTTTTTTTTTCTACCGGTAGTGTTCCTGTGTTATAACGAGGTTATAGGTTTATAACACTGCAGGCCTCCAAATCGTACTTAACAACCTTCCTATTGATTTTAGACGAGACTGGAATGAATTAATGTGACAAACGAACAGATAATTGATTTAAAACAGATACAAACTGCTGTGATTGTCTAAAATCTTAAGTTTTTGTAACATCATCAATGCTTTTTAGATTTTCCTGAAGTAAAAAGTGCGGGTCTTGCACAGTTGTGTCCGTAACGAAATTCTGACAAGATTACTTTATTTTGCTTCATACCGTGTAGTACAATATGATAGAAACCCATTTTTTCTTCAGTTGTTGATGTATTTTGGAAAAAAATGGTGATGCAGAAATACAATAGACAACTAAGTACTCATTTATTTATACACATCCGGAGATTTAGGCCCGTTGGTGAGATTCATAGCAACTTTAAAATTTGCTAGTTTGTCAAGGGAACAATAGTGGATAACACTGATAAATGAGAGTCCACTCAGTGTTTATCAGTGTTTGAAGCACAGTGTGCTGCTAATGAAGTAGGAGTTCGACTTCCAGCAGCAAACAAATTGTGTTTTACCTTTGGTAAAATTATTGCATGTCCACAGATAAATTTGTGTGTATGTAAAAGTAAAAATAGAGTAATGTGGAGTAATAGAAGAGACTCTAGACACAAAGCCCTAATCTTCTACTGTACACAGACACAAAGCCCTAACCCTCTACTGTACACAGTCAAAAATCCCTAACACTCTACTGTACACAGTCAAAAAGCCCTAACCTTCTACTGTACACAGACACAAATCCCTAACCCTTTACTGTACACAGACACAAAGCCCTGTAACATTCTACTGTACACAGACACAAAGCCCTAACCATCTACTGTACACAGACACAAAGCCCTAACCCTTGACTGCACACAGACACAAAGCCCTAACCCTCTACTGTACACAGAAACAAAGCCCTAACCCTCTACTGTACACAGACACAAACCCCTAACCTTCTACTGTACACAGACACAAAGCACTAACCTTCTCCTGTACACAGACACAAAGCCCTAACCTTCTACTGTACACGGACACAAAGCCCTAACATTCTACTGTACACAGACACAAAGCCCCAACCCTTTACTGTACACAGAAACAAAGCCCTAACCCTCTACTGTACACAGACACAAAGCCCTAAACTTCTACTGTACACAGACACAAAGCCCTAACATTCTACTGTACACAGACACAAAGCCCCAACCCTTTACTGTACACAGAAACAAAGCCCTAACCCTCTACTGTACACAGACACAAACCCCTAACCTTCTACTGTACACAGACACAAAGCACTAACCTTCTCCTGTACACAGACACAAAGCCCTGTAACCTTCTACTGTACACAGACACAAAGCCCGAACCCTTTACTGTACACAGTCAAAAAGCCCTAACCTTCTACTGTACACATACACAAAGCCCTAACCTTCTACTGTACACAGACACAAAGCCCTGTAACCTTCTACTGTACACAGACACAAAGCCCTGTAACCTTCTACTGTACACAGACACAAAGCCCGAACCCTTTACTGTACACAGTCAAAAAGCCCTACCCTTCTACTGTACACAGACACAAAGCCCTAATCTTCTACTGTACTACACAGTCAAAAAGCCCTAACACTCTACTGTACACAGTCAAAAAGCCCTAACCCTCTCCTGTACACAGACACAAAGCCCTAACCTTCTACTGTAGACAGTCAAAAAGCCCTAACCCTCTACTGTACACAGACACAAACCCCTAACCTTCTACTGTACACAGACACAAAGCACTAACCTTCTCCTGTACACAGACACAAAGCCCTGTAACCTTCTACTGTACACAGACACAAAGCCCTGTAACCTTCTACTGTACACAGACACAAAGCCCGAACCCTTTACTGTACACAGTCAAAAAGCCCTACCCTTCTACTGTACACAGACACAAAGCCCTAACCTTTTACTGTACACAGAAACAAAGCCCTAACCCTCTACTGTACACAGACACAAAGACCTAACCTTCTACTGTACACAGACACAAAGCCCTAAACATCTACTGTACACAGACACAAAGCCCTAACCCTTGACTGCACACAGACACAAAGCCCTAACCCTCTACTGTACACAGTCAAAAATCCCTAACACTCTACTGTACACAGTCAAAAAGCCCTAACCTTCTACTGTACACATACACAAAGCCCTAACCTTCTACTGTACACAGACACAAATCCCTAACCCTCTACTGTACACAGACACAAAGCCCTAACCTTCTACTGTACACAGACACAAAGCCCTAACCCTTTACTGTACACAGTCAAAAAGCCCTAACCTTCTACTGTACACAGACACAAAGCCCTAATCTTCTACTGTACACAGACACAAAGCCCTAACCTTCTACTGTACACAGTCAAAAAGTTCTAACCTTCTACTGTACACAGACACAAATGAGTGACCGGACATAAAAGACCTGTACATTCAATTGTTAAAAAGTACTATTTTTTAAGCTTAAAGGAACTGACATATAATATTTTATCTCTGGCAAAAAATCTATACGATTTCTCAACATACAAGATGTTTATTGATAAAGATGTATTTGATGCAGTTTTTGATCCTCTGCTTTATCAGATGTCATTGACAATCAGAATTCGGAAGCCTTTCATTATGGTCTGAGAGGTGATTTTATCAGAACTATTGTAATGCTATCCTGAGGGATCTTCAACTGTCACAGTTAAACTTTATCAGCCCTAGTTTACGTTGCCTCAAAGTAAATCATTTCATTTTGCCTGTAACAAGTATTGTTCAGTTTTTAGATAGTATGTTAAAACTCAAAAACAACACAGCACATTTTTTGAAATGTTAATTTCTGATTGGTCTAAATGATGTATATTACATGTATTGTAGTTATAACCATATTTTTTTTCATAAACCACTTCGCTGATTTATGCACATTGCACTATTTTCTAAACTTCGTCCATTGCATCAAAAATGACAGAGGTTATTGGTAGTAATTAAGGTATAATTAACGAGCACTCTATTGATACTATGGTAATGTACACAACATGTGGTGTTTAGTAATAATTTACTGTTACTTATGATTTATATAATGGCAGATAAATATCAATTGCATGATTATTGCAATAATCAATGCAATTTTTCTGTTACCGTAACAAAATTGTTTGTTGCATACAAAAAGATGTCAATATACCTCATCTATGTTATAGTGTGTCTGATTGGTTTAATCAAATCACATTGTCCAGAGACAAAACATCATATCTCCTGACAGCACATGCTTGAAGTTGATAAAACATCATATCTCCCAGCAGTACATGCTTGAAGTTTACAAAACATCATATCTTCCAGCAGTACATGCTTGAAGTTGACAAAACATCATATCTTCCAGCAGTACATGCTTGAAGTCGACAAAACATCATATCTCCCAGCAGTATATGCTTGAAGTTGACAAAACATCATATCTCCCAGCAGTACATGCTTGAAGTCGACAAAACATCATATCTCCCAGCAGTACATGATTGAAGTTGACAAAACATCATATCTCCAAGCAGTACATGCTTGAAGTTGACAAAACATCATATCTCCCAGCAGTACATATGCTTGAAGTCGACAAAACATCATGCACCATATATCTCCTGATGAGGTGTGCATCCATATAAATCTATTAATAATAAGCAATCATACTACTTCCCTGAATACAAAGTGAGTAAATGTTTAAGGAAAGAGACTACCACCAAGTGAAAATGTATA